TTTTTTTTTCTTACTCAGCATACAAAGAGCTTTGTGATTGATAGTAATTTTAGCAAGTTATGAATGCCAGGCTACTACTAGCATACTTAATGTGGATATAATATAAGTTCATTCATTCAACACTAAAAATTACGACTAATATCACAAATCAATTCGTATACACATTTGTGAAGAAGCTGTACAGAGCAAACAAAAAGAACCTCCCAGAGACCAATTTTCTGTCACAAGTTAGCCTAAGCAACTAACAAGATCCTCAAAAGGGTGGGGATAATGACAGTAATTAAGGTAAATTGACTTAATTAAGGTAATTAAGAAGCTCTTATTCCTTGTTACCGAATTTCCTAGCAATGATGGGCCGAACGTCATCAGCATCAACCAAAGTCTCCAAAAACGGCAGTAGTGAAATAAGTGCATTGTCTGATGGATCATCAAACCAGCTCTTGATCGGGATGCCATTATTCACTTGCAACCTGAAAACCTGAAATAATATAAAAGAATCGCATATAATTGAACATAAAGATTCAATTCATAAAAGGTAACACGCTTAGTGATGCTGTTTCTTGTAAAAATAAAAACAAAAAAAACAAAAAAAAAAAGAAGGAGAAGAATCTTATAAAAATGCATTTTTACCTGGGAGGTATTATCAATTATGGCAACTTTCGCAAGATCAACACCCAATATAGTTAATAAAACCAAAGGGAAAAAAAAAGGAGAAGAATCTTATAAAAATGCATTGTTTGCCTCTGGGGTATTATCAATTACGGCAACTTTCGCAAGATCAACACCCAATATAGTTAATAAAAACAAAGAAAAAAAACAGAGAAGAATCTTATAAAAATGCATTTTTTACATGAGGGGGTATTATCAATTATGGCAACTTTCGCAAGATCAACACCCAATATAGTTAATAGAAACCAATAAATAAATAAATAAAGAGAGAAGAATCTTATAAAAATGCAATTTTTACCTGAGGGGTATTATCGATTATGGCAACTTTCGCAAGATCAACGCCCAATATAGTTAAGTCTTTTATGTAAGTTCCTCCCCAGACAGTGCACGATTCACGATAAGCCCGTCTCGATATAACTTTTCCATGTGGGTCAAGAATATCTAGAAGCTGCTTTGCGTAAATGCTCTGGCTAGCAGTGAACACGACAATTTCAAACAACTCGGCCACTCTTTGCAAAAAGGTCATGAGGTGAGGCCTCTGTTTAACATACACCACACATTCTTTTGTGTTAAGGGTAACAGTAAAAGTGAAGTCCACGTTTTCACAGTGCCCCAATGTCGAATGAACGAGCGTTTCTGCACAAAAGGAAAAAAAGAAAAAAAAAACCGAGAAGCCTTAATTTGACAAACTGATTTTTTTTGGTACTCCTCAAAATTAAGAATGCAACAACTATTCGTAAAAGGGAAAATACTTAACCATCTAAATCGAGTACTAAAGTGATCTGCTTGGTACTTTGCTTATTAGCCGGGACTCGAACCGGAAATGCCACTTCAGCCTGGTCTGGAGAATTTCTGATATACATTTGTGGCTCTTTTGAAGATGTGTCACCATTGTCAAGTCGAGTATCAAAAGTATCCTCCAAAAAGGGCAATACCATATGATCCTCAGTCAAATCATAACAGAGTAAACTAGACTCTTCATCAAATTGATAATCGGGTAGAAAAAATGATTTTGTTCCACTGCTGAAATCAGAATTGCTTCCAATTGGCGATGCAGAAAAAATCATGTCAGATATGTAAAAATCTGTTACATTGCATGCTTGATTATATTTACAAGAATTTTTGCTGCTATCATCACTGTCTTCGTTATCTAGCTGTGGCACATAGAGATTTTCACTTCCTACAATGNAAGCGAGCCGATACTTATTATAGCTTCATGGCCTAAAAGTGATTATACAATATAATTAAAATTGTGTCGGCTTGAAAACCAAGAAATGGTTATAGAATATACCTTCATTGTTGCAGATTGACTCGAGAATGGGAGAAAAAATTGTCTCCATGTTTGATGTAAAGGTGGGTAAGGTAGGTTCCTGAAAAATATTTGAAACAAAGCCATTAAGCACACTGAATATATTCTTTTGTCTATACATACTGTCAACTGAGTGATGCATACGGCCATCAATGAATTGCAATGCAAAGGCTAAAAAAATATGAGTTATTAGAAAAATGAAGATTCTCACCATACTCTCGGTAGCAGAATCAATTGCCCTCAACGGCTGCTCGTGAAGAAGTTCTTCTTCAGTTGATACCTCATTGGAGTTGGCCTCAACCGCTTCAAGGTCCTGTGCATATAATCTACCATAAACTGGAGCTGCATAGTAAATGAAAAAATGTGGAGCATTAAATTTTTTTTCTAAACCAATAAATTATATATTAGTGAGAATTACGGCACAAACATGAGGATAGAATGGAAATGAAGAAGATATTAGTTTTATAAAGAGACTGTAATCTCCACTAAATGGAATAAAGTTCAAATCTTGTAAACAAAACTTTTAAGCTCAATAACTTTAACTATGTAAGTCGTACAAATCCACACTTACCATTCTGATTGTTCGGAACACAGATTTTTTCTTCCGCATTATGAGATACTATGACATGAGAGAGAGAATTCTTGGATATCATACTCGACCTTCGGCAAACTTGAAGACAATCTTTTTCTTTGGAACAACCTGTGGTTGGTTTGGTTTTCATTTTTAAAGATGGCATTTGATCTGTACTTTTGATGATGGAAACAATATTGCATCAGATCAGCCACAGGAAACTGCAATTAATCACTTTTCAGTAAGAATACTTTGTAAAAAAAAAAAGAGGTAAAAAGAAAGTTGTAGTTCAACCAAATGACATGACTGTACCAATGAGATCCAAGACTTCCTGATTCAATTAATGTTCTGCAATTTTTAAAACTAAACACCCAAGTTGTATAACAGTAAAAAAATGTTGTAGTACTTGCTAAGGAAGATAAATCTCCTCACACAATTCCCATTTTTTAAGCAGATAAGTCGTATTCGTGAGTCATGACAAAGCAACTTAGTAAAAGCAGTCATATGAAACGAGAATCATAAACTTGAACAAGACATGAACATGGGAGATGACAAAAGATAACTAAGAATTCTCCCAGTGAATCTTAATACTAAAAACAACCCAAATCTCATAGTTCAAAATAATCTTGAACCATAACCATCAAAAATCAAATTTTTCAACAGAGAACCCTCAAGAGAGCTGAAGTCAACTCAATACAACCACTTCGCCAACTATGAAGTTCGAAATTTACTAAAGCACAACATTAAGAAATAAAATGAACACGAACATACAAAAATTTCACATCATACACTCCATTAACATTCGAATTCCAAAAACCCTAAAGCAGGAAAAAAAAATCCAGATTAACAGGCGAAATATTTACCAAACTTACTAATACATACAGCTGAATTAGCCACGAAAAGAACAGAAACTTTTTCGAGTCAACAAAGATGACTCTACACCGATGTCTACAAGTTGTATACAGAAAAATCATTTCTTTTGTGGTAACATACCAGTTGAAGTCCAACACACTCTCTCTCTCTCTCTCTCTCTCTCTCTCTCTCTCTAAACGACGCGCTTTCTCTTTCTAGACTTTTCCATGCCCCTGTTGGTGAAATTTATAAGCAGTGGTGTGCGAGCTGTAAAGACTGCGCCTTTCTTGATCATCTACAGCCGGTCTGCCTTTCTTGATCACCTACAGCCGGTCTATTCGTTCTACCGTGCGACCGTCATGCACGATTTGTACCTCGCAACTTATGCGAGACAGTAATTACATGAGTACAACTTGAATAGCAGGGGATCGGGACCCGTGCTTAACTGAGTTCGCCTGCTGATAACGAACGGCTGAGATTCAGAGCTGGGGAAAGTCGGGGACAGACCACTCACCAACTGCCACGTGGATGGGGGTCCGCCAACCTGGCAAAGGACACGTGCTGCTTCGCGGAAAGAGAGAGAGCCGTGTGTGAGAATTACTGCGCTGTGGAGAGTGTAAGACACGCGCGCTGGACTTTGTTGTGTTATTTTACTATTTTGGGCCTGTTGCGAGTGCTCAACTTCACGAATAACTTGTCTGGACATGAGTGGATAGTCCAATGTAGTCTTTTTTTAAAATAATAATTAATAATAATAATTCCAATGCTTCCATTTCAATTTTTAATAAATTAGATATTAGCAGATATGGAAATAAAATGACATGACATGAGACATTACTAACTCAAAGTTTATAATGTTGAAAAAAAAGTTTTCAAAATGTACAATTTTTGTTTGGTGTCTGACTTCTTATGCTCAATTTTTAAACAAATGTGTTTGGCATAAATTTGTGATACGCAAATTCTCTACGAACCGGATTTAAATCGATGCAACCACGAACCACTTCTCGTCATGAGCTGCAAAATATGCTGGGAGGAGATCTCGGCGGAAAATCTCTGACGTTCAATTCAAATCTCGCTCATGCATACAGTAAAACTATATAGTAAGGCATGGTATGCATGAATTAAATAGAACTTCCTAAACCCCTTTTACAAGGAGGTTATCTTCCTTCCCAAGCAGATGACTAGAAAAGAAATTTTGTCGTATCTCGTTTCTTGGAATGCCACGTCTTTGAGATCTTAGACTCGTTAGAGAGATATAGTTACTATCCTTACTAGATTTCTATTTCCTTTTCTGTCACGGCTCTTAGGTCCTTAGATCGTCACAGCGACCTCATTACTCATCTGCTACATGCCCCTACTAGGTCGAAAACGTGACTTCCGCTTAGATGTGGCCAAACCCCGGTTCCAGGCCGGGGTTTGAGGGGCCTAATCCGGCCCAAATATATGCACGAGGTTGTTCATTAAAAAGCAGTTCCAAGCCTATTCAGTAAACCGTCGGTTCTGTATTTAATAAATTAATAAACCGTTTAGGAAAAAAAATTCTCATTCACCGTGTTAAAACATTTAGGAATTTCTTTTCATTTTCGGTGTATGTGTCATGTCCTTAACCTTTGTGTTCAAGCGGGTTATTATGTTTTGAAAGAGCCGGTCATGCCATTAGGAATGCCGTTACTTACTTATATCGTCGCCCGCAAGAAATGAAAAAATAAGAAAATTTTGTAGAGAAAAAGGTATAACACCAAAAAAATTACAACCAGACGTTACCCGTTGGAACTCAATTTATAAAATTTTAATGAAGACATTTGCATTTGCTTATTAATTTGTGATGTCACAGTTGATATCATTGATTGGTTAAATTGTCAAACACTAAATTTTAAAAGTATTTCAAGATGCTACTAACATACTTTTTGTTGTAAGTTTGTAGCCATAGTGTGGGACTTTTTAGAGATATTTTAGCTAGTGATCATGACAGACACGACGAATTTGTAAGAGATATGCTAAGAAAATGGTTAAAACATTATTTTCTCATTCCCGATACATTTTTTGTTGTATCTTTGTTATATCCGTCATTACGTGAAAATAGTTTGCTAAACTAACTTCACACATATAATGATATTATGTATCAACTCCCATGTCCCATGCCCCACTTGTTGTTATATTGGATTAACAACGATAATAACGAGAATTTAGAGTGCAAAATGTAGTGGATTAGCGTATGTTTGTATTATCGTAAAATTGTTTTTCGTTAAAGAAGTCGGTTTATAGCGAAACCAAGTTGTTCTTTATGTTTCAATTTCAATGTCCGAAAAAGGATCCTCGGACAAGAGTTAACTCTGTTATTTATAGTAGCTTTACGTTCGACATTCGAGGCTGGTACGGCAACAATTAATGCAAAGTGACTTTATAATGGCGGTTAGTCTGCAGGTGGGCCCGCAGGTTATAATTGAGGCGTGTGTGACGGGCAGTTTGGGCGGTTGAACGGTAGACGCCTTGTCAGCATCGACTTTGACCTCGGTTTCAGAAAAGAATCTCTGTTTCTCTTGAAAGTCGGTCACAATGGGACGAAGTCGGTTTTTTATCTGGTCTGAGCCGAGTTCATCCCATACTGATTTGAATTCATGTTTATCTAGAGTTCAATGATTAATCTTCTCCTTAGTGTCTTTAAGTCTGGCTGATCAGGGCGGTTGTCAACACCACTGATGTCCCGACTATCAGTATAAGACCTGACCCAATGTCCCATTGCTCCCAACATATTATTTTTATCTTATTTATCATCTTTTCTCCATTGATATTTGTTAATAAATTTTTTAACTAAAACATATTATTATTGTTATTGTTAGTAGTGGTGGTGGTAGTAGTAGTAGTAATGACTTTCCCAACAACATTAATTTGATGTGATTTTTATTCAATGGTCGATACCATTTCCAATCAACACTAATTTAATTGATTTTTCATTTGACATTTTTTAACCATAATTAATATTAAAAAAAATAGTATAGTTAGTTGTAAGTAAGTATATTAAGATAATATTTAAAATAAAATAAATAAAATTAAATTGATATAAAAATAAGAAAAAAATAATTGAAAGTGATAGTTATTTAAAATTATGTAAGTAAATGAATAATAAATTAAGTTGATATAATGTTTAAAAATAATTAATTGATATTATTTAATTATATTAATAATATGAAAAATAGTAATATTGAGTTAAAATTGAATTAAATTTGAATTTTAATTAATTTTTCAACTATTTACATCCAATCACACCCTTACGGACTGAACAAAACTGGCAATGCCCAAATATCCAAACCAATGCAAATAATAATAATAATAATAAAGGCAGGAAGAAAGTAAGAAGGGATCCAAGCAAAAGCTTTGTCCATACAGTTCACCTAAGCAACCAAAACATCGATCAAACCTTCAAAACTTACCCAAAAGCCTGGGACAAAAATTCCAGGTTGATTTTCACACAAACACAAACTTACTTCAAACAAAAACTAAGAACAAATCTACAGTGCCATCAATCTTCTCACCAACAAAAACTAAGAACAAAACTACAGAGCCATAGATCTTCTTACCCTCAAGCTTCCTCCCTCCCTAATTTAAACATTCAATTTCTAATTTCGGATCAGAAACTATTCTCCTTTTCGGGCCTCTTGTCCTACTTTTTGTACGTTTAGTTACATTTACAACCCAAAACAACACCTTGTAAGACGATGGCTTTTCGGAAAAAAAATACTACTTCTCGTTCGGCCCATTTGTTTGCCAAGGTTGGCTGCTCGAACAGTAGGCACGAAGATTTTCTTGCATGTGCTGAAATAGCCACACATTTGAACACAACAACTTCAAACGGTGCTACAAAATACTTACAAAAAATTCAAAAAAAGGGATGGTTTTTTTAAAGGAAATTCAACTCAACGAACACGAAAAGCAATAGAGAGAAATCAGAAGTTCCAAGTAATTTTTAAATGGAAGCCAAAAGTTGATATACGTAAATAAAAATGCTCAATTTGCTATTCCACTTCAATTTCATCATCATCATCATAATAATAATAATATCATAATATGATAATAATATTTACCTCATCACTAAATCCTGTGTGTTCCAAATCAAAGAGAATTGGCCTGCAACGCTTATCTTCATTCATTAAGCTCGAATTCTGGAAATGGGCAACGAGGGCAGCTTTCCCCTGAATACGAGCAAAAGCCAAGGATGCGACTTTTTCGCTATTGAATTTCTCCCAACGCTTGCCTTCAAATTCCTGGTTTTAAAGCAGAAACTTAATCAGTCCTACATATTACTAACTGGAGTGAAAAGAAAATCGAAATAAACTCAGAGATTAAAGAATCAAACCGCATGAAAGGGAACAATATTCAGTGGAGACAACATGTTGATAAACGCATAACCCACATTGCATCTATTCTGCAAACAAAAAACCATTTATCGTTTAGCTCGTTCATTCTTGTAAGGAAAAGAAAAAAAAATCCATGAAAAATGTAGAATAATGAGCAAAAAAAAAGCACCTTGAAGTCAATGGGCAAATATAGAAAGTCATAAGCCCCCCTATGATTCTCATCAACAGCAGCCAACAACATCTCTGACGAGTACCTAAATAAAAAATGAATGTCATATTCTGTTCATCCAAAAAAAAAAAAGTACTAAAATTAAAACAAATAAATAATTCAGAAAAATTTTTACTTGTTGGGAATATTTTTTATCATAAGAGTTGTCCGAGCATCTTCACCGCTCTTAATCTTATCAAGATCGAGCTGAAATTGTTTCATGTTATCCAGTTGGACTCCCTTTACTCCAAAAAGCCTCGACTTTCGTTCAGCCAAACCTTCCATGCTAGGAAAATAGCCATTACCTAAAAAAGCAGGACTCAGTCTCCCACCAGAAGGCATATTGGACCCACAATTGAGCCCATAACTTGAGCCCACACTTCCATAACCGGGCCCCATAAATGACCCTTTCAGAGACTCCTGAATATAACCGAACTGCCGCTCGGGAGGAGCAGACCCCACATGATAATGGTGATTTAGGAAATTAAAACTGTTACTATTAGTATTTCCCCAGATATTCTGTGGGCCAGCAAATAATGGGTTGGAAGTGGGCCCACTGAAGCTGGACTGCCCAAATGAAGAAACGGGCCCGGCCCCCCGATACTGACTGCCGAGAATATGTTCTGGAAATGAACGGGATTTATCCGAGATGGCCCGGGAGTTCAAATTTCCATTAGGAAAGATGTGATCGAAATAATGGCCGCTCGAGCTATCGTGCACAAGTGGAGGACTAATAGATCCAAAAACGGGTGATTTGCTGTAGTTCTTCAAGGGGTTTCGCTCCATAGGACTACCGAGCTGTGGCCAATTACCTTCAAGAATGCAAGAATGAGAGCTTGTCAAAATAACAAATATATCCGTTCAAAATTAGTTTTTTGATTAACCATGATTAATTTTGAAAAAGTTGGTAAGGTTAGTTAGTGAGATTTTGGATATATTAAAGTAAAATAATTAAAGTTGATTTGATGTAAAAGTAGGCGAGAGATGATGTGAAGTGATGGTTAGTTAGAATTAAATTGAGTGGATCAATGGTGAATTAAAGTTGATATGATGTGTAAGAATGATTGATTGATAATATTTAATTATATTGATAATATTGAGCATTGTTGAGATAGATTTTGAGTATAAATTGAGATAATTTATAAGCAAATACACCCTTAGGATGCATGTTAAAATAAAAAAAGATTTACCTTCCAAAATTACAAATACTACACTGACATACATTTCAGTGTTACAATTACACCTCTCGTCAAGGAGGTTTCATATTATCTCAGGGGCACAATGTAAATTCAACGACAGTCGGAATTTCTTAAGGTGAATCTCAGGGGTATATCTTTTTCTAATTAGCTCACACACGCTTAATTGATTTTATTCCAATATGCATATTAACGAGTATTGCTAACAAGGAATGAATTAATGAGTAATACCAGAGGGAGAATTCCCAAGCGGTGAACCCACGTGATACAAACTTCTTTCATCTTGCTCAAGGTCATTACTTGCTTGCAGCAGTGAACTGTAAGGCATACAAAAAAAATAATAATAATAATAAATAAATAAATAAAATAAAATAAAATAAAATGAAATAAAATAAAAATGTAACTTCACAACACGCTATTAGAAATTAAGAGTCACCAACATAACAATCCATGAGCTCATTTATCTCACTCAGCCTAGACTTATATAAAAGATTTCCAAAAAAAAAAACTGAACATTAATAAACAAACCTTCTACGAGCTCCACCAGGACGACTAGGTTCCAGCTTAATACGTTTTCCAGCTATATCAATCCTGTTCAAGGACTTAAGTGCAGCTTCGGCAGCCCTAACATCATAAAACTCAACAAATTTGTGATTTCTCTTGTTGGGAGTTTCCCTTACCTGAGTTAATAAGAAATACAAACAAGACATGGTTAGATATTAAGCCTACAATGTTGTTCTTTGAAAACTAACGAGAGGAAAAAAGATGGAAAAAACTCGGTACCTCTTTGACCTCGCCAAAAGGACCAAAAATTTGAAGAAGATCATCGCTAGAAACTGAGGGGTCCAGATTAAATACTACCAAGGTGCCTTGATTCATGTCCTTATCAGAAGGATTTTCCTATAACCAAAAGAAAATGAACTAATTACAAAGTTTACACCTTTGACACTTTGTTCTCCTACACATTGCAACATCTAGGGGGTACTTTTTAGGTAAATACAATATAAACGTCAAGGGAGTTTTTGTAACACCTCAATCTGACATTGTTTAATTTTGAAAAATAACTTGATTTCTTTAAAACTATATGCACTAGCTCTCAGAGGCACTTTTCTATTATCATCAATAGAAAATTAAAGTTTGTCGAACCTTAGGAATAGAGAAGTGAATATCCAGCTTTCTCCTCCGGAGTGGTTTATTTTGCAAGGCACGCATTGCTGTACGGGCAGCTCGAATATCATAGTAAGAGATCATCACAAAGCCCCTATGCTTACACGAAGTGTACAATGTTCGGATATCACCATATTGCTGTAGATAACAAAGCAAAAGGAACCTCCATTAAAAATTTAACAGAAATATTAATAGACGCAGAATGCAGATTTAAACATTTTAACAAGTTATTTTTGAATTTCGTCAAAAATATCATTTTATTTCTTTGCTTTTTCTTTTTGTCCGTGTTTTTCGGATAAACAAAAATTTGGAAGGAAAAATCAATTTTCTGTATTATACCCAATCACCATTAATCATATGAAAGTACCTCAAAGAGAGCTCTAATCTCCGCATCCTCAACGTTACTGTTAATATTACGGACAAATAAAGTTCTCGAAGGATGCTCCCCGAGAGGATGTTCTCCGGCAATTGTCGCCCCACCAATGGGGAAATTCAAGCGGGCCCCACCATTGCCAACACCAACACCATCAGATAAATTCAGACTGGAAACACCAAATCGTACGAAATTTTCTTGCAGATCAGTTTCGAGTTCCAAGCCTCCTCCGCTTCGAAAAAGATCGAAATCTTCCGAGTCATCTACAAGCTCATTCACCATCCCAGCAAATAGTTCGTTCTCGTCGGGTAGTAAGCTCTCAATTGCATGATTCTTCTCGTCATCAACAAGAGATTTCTTTCCCTCCAGATGAACTCCTCGGTTTAGTTCGTTGATGTTCACTGCGAAAAGGCGAAAAATAGAATATAAATAAATAATTGTGGTAGAGAGTTAACTATGAAAGTACTTCCAGTTGAAGCATATGCTTTGTTGCTTGCTTACACTTCTCATTGGCAAGAACAGGCAATGAAGCCAAGAAAAGCGAGGCATCACTTGAGGTGTGATAAGAGTTAGCTTGAGAAAAAAGTTCCCACGTGCTGTTTCCCATTTTCTTGGATAAATTTGCTGAAGTCTTGAGAGCACCCAACACAGGTTTAGTTTGTTCGATCAGAGAAATGAAAAAATATTATTTTTTTCCGAAAATTGCCAGAAATGAAATGCTCAACTGATGAGCAATCTTTACAAATTTAGAGCATTTACCGCCATTTGATAACACTGACACACAGTCGTACAAAAAAAAAGCATAAGAAACATTCATAGAGCATTTACTGAGCAAACAGTTGAGGGTGGACCCCACGTGGGACTAGGGCTAGGCCGTGTAAGAGATTATAATAGCTAACATGGCAAAAACGAAACATGCATGAGAACATTCCTAAAGCGTTAATGCAGAACAAGGTTAAAATCCACGTGGCTGAGCCCCATTTTGAAACCGTAATTCTTCGGGAGATATAAAGCCAAAGAACGGAAAACAGGTACGGCGTTTTTACTAAATACGGAGGTCAAACTCTTCAGACTTCATTAAAGAACAATTTGGTGCCAAATTTTGTACAGCTGCAAACACGTGTCTTGAAATCATACACACCACTTCTCAAGACTCAAATTAATCCAAGATAGAAACAAAAGAAGTGATTGCATGTGACTATGATCTTAGAAAAGAAAACCCATCGAATCTCAAACTAACGAAATTGTTGAATACTTATCCAGAGATTTGTTCTCCGCCAACAAAACGGGAAAGTTCATAAGTGAGACAGTAAATATCCCCAAATTACTGTTGATAATAGTCGGGTAGGTTCCTCGATCCAACAGTCTCGAACCAACAAAAGCTATAACTAACGTCAAGCATAATAAAAGCGGCGTCAAATTTTTGGAAATATTTGTTAGATCAACTACAGTTAAATTTGCAGGGAATAACAGAAATTAAAACGAGGCAGTGCATGACCATTATAATTATTTTTGTTCATCTTTGCAACACTTCCACTTAATTAACAATGCATGACCTTCTTCCTGATAGTTTTGTTAACCAAACAGCACTGTACTTATATCTTGGAACCAACATATACCATAATAGATATATGGCACTGTTCATGAAGCTAAATTAAAACCCTACGAAATACAAAGCGATAAGCAAAAGCAACCACGGCAATGTACTAAAATCTTCTGCAACAACACATGCAAATCATTCTGCTTGTCCATGTGAGATAAACCCATCCACCAAATTCAAGCCAGAGCCCATAACTTAAATGTAAACACAAAAAAAATATCCAAGCAGGAGACTAGTTTAGTACTTAGCAGTTAGCACAAACCAATAAAGAATTACAACAAGCCATCACCCATTAATTATCTGATTTTAGAATTTAAAAGAGAGAGGTAGAGATAAACTTGTCATACAGACAAACTCAAACAAGAAACAGATTGAGATAACTA